GTGGATGTGGGCATCTTCTGGCGGTGGGCGAATTCGGAACGCGCGTCGGATCGGGCTGCGTCGGGCACGGAGTCGACATCGGAGCGGATCGGCTGCACCAAGATGCACGGCGGCGCCCCTGCGAGCAGATGGGCCGCATGGCACCGCGGGAGACTCCAAAATTTACCAGCCTGGAACATATCCTTATCCCTATGCTGGGCACCTCCTCATCACGATGCCAATCTTAGGGATTCCCTTATTTCTTGAAGGCGAATCCCTAAGATTGTCATCGCCTTTTGGCGTGTCAATCTTAGGGATATGGATACGTTCGAGGCTGGTATAAAATCGAATCGGATGGGGCCGGCCGAGCTCGGCATCGAAGCCAGACCGAAGTGGACCCCGCAGCCTGGCTGCCTGCCGAGCTCGGCCCGCCAGGCGCGTAAGGCCCCTGCAGCCGCGGGAGCCGTGGAGAACCCACGCCCACGGAGGTCGGCCCAGGGCTTCCCGCCAAGTGCTTACCGCCTCCGCCAGGAGCACTTCAGCGAACGCACCGAACTGGGGGGGGGAGGAACAAGAAACACAGGAACAAGCAAACGACGCTTCTGGGGGGCCGCTCCTGGGGCCGCTCCTGGGGCCGCTCCTGGGGCTTCCCGCCGAATGCTTACAGCCTCCGCGCCAGGAGCACTTCAGCGAACGCAGGGGGAGGAACAAGAAACACATTTTTTTGGTCGGCGGGGCGAGAGCGAACCTCTTCCGGGCGGGCTACGCACAGCTCTAATCGGGGAGACAGAGCACAAGCGGGCGGGGCCTCAGGCGGCCAGAGGGCGGGCCGGGGTGCAGGCGGTGCCGAGGAGCTTGCACAGGAAAAGGAATGCCTTGGACAGGAGCCGGAGGCGAAGGTCCGGAGGGTGAGCGGTGTGGTGAAGGAACAAGAAACACAGGAACAAGCCAACGACGCTTCCGGGGCGCCGCTCCTGGGGCACGGCCTGACCAGGACGTCCCCGCAGATGGAACCGTCGAGCCGGGCCAAGTCCCCCTCCAGAATTACTTACCAAATATGAATACTATTCCCCCCTATCCCCTGATGACGTCCGGAAGATGTTCGGCCTCCCTCCGCGTACTGTCTTTCTACACGCAGGACTCCCGGGAGTGGGGGTTTCGCTTGGGTTGTTGTTCAGCATGTTGCTCCCGCTGAAGCGCTGGCCTCATTTTCGGGCTTCCGCTCGCTCCAAAATCGTGCTCCCGCTGGAGCGCTGGCCACATCTCCACGCTTCCGCTCGCTCCGAATCGTTCCCCTTGCTGCAGCGCTGGCCTCATTTCCGCGCTTCCGCTCGCTCCGAATCGTGCTCCCGCTGCAGCGCTGGCGTCATTATTTCCAGTGCCATGCCACGGCATGCAATGCAATGCCATGTGGTGTTCCGCCATGCGATTCCATGCCCTCAGCTGCAATGCTGGGATGTGCAGTGCCTGACTGCGCATTGCCACCTTGACTCTGCATTGCCACGCCATGCTATGCCAGGCTACGCTTTGATCGTTCCTCGTCCGTTCAAGTAAGCCCAAATGGAAAAAATGACCCCCGAAAAAACATCGGAAGTGATTACACATCCGGTGTCGATCTGTTGATTTTTGGGGCCGCAGAAGGCCCCCACACTGGGGCGTCGTCGTTTTGAGGAGGTATCAGGCGGGAGCCCGTTTCTGCTTCGAGAAGGCGATGTTGAAAACAGAGCCAGCGAGTTCTCTCCATCAGCCCCGCATCGTGGGGAGCTTTCTGGAGAGCCCAGGGAGCTGAACATGGAGCCGCGACTTCAGACCTGCCCAAACCTCTCGAAGAAGATCAACTTACCCTCCAAGGAACCCGGTGCCATCCCATGACATGCAGCGCGGTGTTGTGTTCTGCGCCGCTGTGCGACGCCATGCTTTGCATTGCAATGCTTTGTGATGCAATGCTTCCCTGCGTAATGCCACGCCATGCTATGACATGCTATGACATGCTACGCTCTGAAGTGCTCTTCTACGCCATGATATGCCGTGCTCTACGATGCATCGCGCACCCTCTCGGGATCATCGTCCTGCTCGACATCCGACTGTGCGAATAGAGAGCAGATCTACGCCATGGTAAGGGATGGGAGGGATGGGTAGGACGTCAGATATGACGCGAGCGCACATAGCTTGCCCTCCTCCCCCTTCTCCACCTCCTCCTCCGCCTTCTCCTCCTCCTCCTCCTCCTCCTCCTCCTCCTCCTCCTCCTCCTCCCCCTCCTCCTCCTACTCCTCCTCCTCCTCCTCCTCCTCCTCCTCCTCCTCCTCCTCCTCCTCCTCCTCCCCCTCCTCGTCCGCGGCGCCGTCTTCCCCGCCGCCGTCGGTCGTCGCCGCCGCGGCTGTCGCCGCCGCCGTCGCCGCTGTCGGTCGTCGCCACCGCCGCCGTCGGTCGTCGTCGTCGTGGCCACCGCCGCCGCCGCCATCGCCCCCGCCGTCGGTCGTCGCCCGCGGCGGGCGCCGCGCGCAAAGAGCCCCCCATCAGCTCAGGGAGGGCGGCCCGCGAGGTGCGCCGCGCCGTCGGGCACCCAGCACAGCTCCTCCGAGGAGCGGCCGCCGCCCGCCCCGCTGTGCCGTGGCTTCGTGCCGCTGCTCCCACAGCATGACCACACATGCTCGTCGTCGTCGTCGTCGTCGAAGTTGTCATCGAAGTCGTCGTGCACGCTCATCATCATCATCATCATCATCATCATCATCATCATCATCAGCAGCAGCAGCAGCAGCAGCATCATCATCATCAGCAGCAGCAGTAGCAGCATCATCAGCATCATCATCAGCAGCAGCATCAGCATCATCAGCAGCATCAGCAGCAGCATCAACATCATCATTATCATCATTATCAGCATCATCATCATCATCATCATCAGCATCATCATCAACATCAGCATCAGCATCAGCATCAGCATCAGCATCATCATCATCATCATCATCATCATCATCATCATCATCATCATCATCATCATCATCATCATGGTCGTCATCATGGTCGTCATCATCGCCACCACCACCAGCATCACCAGCACCACCACCAGCATCACAATCAGCAGCGACAGCATCAGCATCAGCGTCCTCATCCTCACCCTCATCCTAGGCATCATCGGCAGCAGCCAAAGCACCACCACCATCAGCATGATCCCCGATCATCCTCGTCATCAGCAGCAACATCGTTGTCAGCATCAAACTAATCATCCACATCCTCGTCCTTCTCCGCCTCCTCCTCCTCACCCCCACCACCACCACCATCATCACAATCATCCGTATCACTACCATCATCATTATCATCATCATCATCAGCAGCAGCAGCATTACCATCATCATCAGCAGCAGCAGCAGCATCATCATCATCAGCATCATCATCATCATCATCATAATCATCACCACCACTACCACCATCATCATCAGCAGCACCATCATCAGCAGGCATATCAGCATCATCATCGTCATCGTCATCATCATCAGCGTCGTCGTCCGCAGCACCTTCACCAGCAGCATCAACAGCCGACTCAACATCAAGCACGACAACCATCGTTTTGATACTGTTCGCTCTTATCTGCTCGCGTGTCACTCAACATGTATCTCTCAAACCCTCGGTACCAGCCCTCTTCGTCTTCGACCGTATCCCTTGTGAGTGTCTCTTCCAGACCTGCCACGAGTAGTTCACGCAGCCCCTAAAAAAGGGGAATGGAGGGATGAGGAAAGGAACAAGGGGAGGGAGAAGGATGGAGAACGAGAGAGAATAACAGGAGGGTTGGGAGCAGGAAAACAAGCGGCAGAAGCAGATGGATGGGCGGGTCGGGCGGGCGGACACTAAAGGGCGAATGGTGGGCGGGCCCAGACGGCTGGGTGGAGCGGACGGGTCGTTGAAACGTCAGTCCTGCATGAACCACGCGGAGGTCTCAAGCGATAGCGCGATTCCCAAGCAGATGTCGGGCGTTGGCAGAACTGGGTTTAGTGGGAACTGGTTTAATGATGTGTACCGGGGACGCCCCTCTCCCACCCCGTTCCACTAACCGGAACTGCCGTCACCCGAAAAATACCAGCTACGGCAGACCTGGTTTAATGATTGATGCTTCTGTTTTGAGTTCGGGGCCCTATCACTAACCGGTTCCCCTTATCCAAGGCCCTGGCTATACCCGAAAATCGTGAGGAAGTCCAGAGCGAGAGAATGATTCCTGAGTGTCTGTGTTGTAGTAAAGCTGGGGCGAACCGCAATAGTTTCCCGTGTAAAAAGCACGGGGCAGGCCGAAAGCTGCGAGAGAAACCTTGCAGGGCCCGTCCGTCTCCCAAGACCCTTACGCTTCATGGCGATATGCCCCTTCCCGCCCAGTCCTTGCTTATCCGGACCACGTCCTGCTCGACCCAGCGCCCCCTCTCGACAAGCACGACGCCGGCCCGCGCGGCGGCCGCCTCGGGGCGGCGAAGCACCGCCGGCGGGGGCGGCGAGCGCCACCGCTCCACGCCAGCGCGGCAGGCGCAGGGCTCCGCCAGCGGGACGGCGGGCGCCGCGCACGCCAGCGGCGCCTGCGCCAGTCCGCCTGGCACGGCCAGGTGCTGGATCGGCTGGCATGCCACGACACGGCTCGCCGCCACCGGCGTGCGGACGAGCGACCGCGGCCGCAGGGGCTGCGGCGGCCCGCGGGGGCGGGCCGGCATCGGCACGAGCCCCGCGACGAGCACGCTGGGGTGCTGCGTGCAGGCGCGCGCCGCCCCCGCGACAGGGCTGCCCAGGCGCTGCGCCGCCTGGGGGGCCACCAGCCGCGGCGTTCCCCCGAGCACGGCCAGCGACGGGGTGCTTGCGGCGGTCCCCAGAAGGCGCTGGGGGCGCGGCGAACCCCCCTGTGCAGTGGCCCCATGGCGGCACTGGGGGCGCGGCGAGCACCCCTGTGCATCAAGCCGCGGCGTTCCCCCGAGCATGACCAGCGACGCGCTGCTTGCAGTGGTCCCGAGGCGGCGCTGGGGGCGCGGCGAACCCCTCTGCGCGTGGCACACTGAATGCTGGCCTGGCGAGAGGCTCCGCGCTGGCCCCACCTCGGGCGTGTCTGAGGGTCGAGGGCTCCACCAGGCAACAGCGCGGCCGAGGGGCAGTTGCATGCTGCGACCTCGCGTGGCTTGCGTGGCAGAGGGCACGCCTGGCGCCATGCTGGTCTGCGCGGAGACCTGCAACCAGGACGGCGGCAATTGCACGCTGCCGGCCCCTTGGGCAGGACCTGCCGCCCTGCCCCGCCCAGCAGCGCCAACGTCGCTGCGCGCCCTCTGGCGCTCCTCCTCGGCCTCTGCCGCAGCAGCGGCGGGCTGAGGGGAGCCCGCCTCCGCACCCTCTCCGGCACAGCCAGCAGGCGGCCGCACCTCGGCTCCGCGGGCGGCTGCTGGAGCTGGAGGGCTCCCGGCTCCCCCGTGCCCGGGCGGCGAGTTGGCGGCGACTTCCGAGGGGCGGGGGGTGCATGTGCGCAGGAGCGCCACCTCCGCGGCCTCCGGGGCGTCGGGCTCCGACGGCGGGCCGCCCGGGCCCTCGCGGCTCGCCGTCAGGAGCCTGGCGATGGCCGCCTCCACCGCGGCAGGCCTGTCTGCCCGGGCGACTCGGCAGGGGGTGGTGAGGCCGCGGAGGGCGGCCACCGGGCTGCCCAGCGCCTCCGCGTCCTTGAGCACCTCCTCCACCGACTCGCAGGCCGCGAGGCACGAGGCCAGCCGCGGGTCGCGGGCGTTCGGGGGCGAGAAGGGGGCCTCGCGGACCACCGCCCGCACCAGGGCGATCCGTGCCGAGCCCCCGCCGAACGCCGTGCGAAGGGTCTCGCGCCCGGGGTCGTGGCTGCTCAGGATGGCCAGCATCGCGTCGCGCGCCAGCGCCAGGAGGCGCAGGAGCTCCAGCTCCGCCTGCACCAGCCTCACGGGCGCATCGCTGGAGGCCTCCACCTCGCGGTAGGCGGCCGCCAGGAGGCCGAGCATCTCGTCGAGGCGAGCCGGCACCCCCGCCGCGGGCGGCGCCTGCGACGCCTGCCGCCGCTCCAGCGCCGCGTCCAGCATGAGGGCTATGCGCGGCTGCTCGCCGTCGTCGCTGAGGCCGTCCTCCCAGACATCCGGCTTCGTGATTCGCTGTGTCTTCCACAAGGTGGCAACCCAGAGGTCTGGACCCTGGTCCCGAGGACCGACTTTTCATCCCGAGTCGTTCCGTTGACGGCCCTGGGGCCCGGCAACGGCCCACGGGGGCCGGAAATGGCCAAAGACCTTCCGTCGTGCTGTTTCTTGCGACGCGAGGATGTCTGGGGCGTGTCTGGGGCTCTCGGCAGGCGCGCGGCGGGAGGCCAGAGCGGGAGGTCGGGAGAGGAGTGCTGCGGTCGCGCGCAGGCGTGCGTGCGCTCGCGCGTACACCTCCCTTCCTCCCATTCCGCCTCCTCCTCCTCCTCCTCCTCCTCCTCCTCCTCCTCCTCCTCCTGCTCCTCCTCCTCCTCCTCCTCCTCCTCCTCCTCCTCCTCATCCACCGCCTCCTCCCGCTACTGAACGAACGTGGCCGCCAAAGATCCAGCCCGTCGCCGACCTCTTGAAAGCCAAGGACGGGGCGGACGATCAACAAGACGAGCGAGCGCTAGATCAGCCCGAGCCGAGGGCCGGAGACAAAGCTCGAAAAAGCACGGGGTGGCGGCGCCGGAGCTCCAGCGCGCGCAGGACGCCACCTCGGCGGAGCTCGAGGCCTGACTCCGAGGTGTTCGCTTGTTGTTGGAACTGTCTTCTCACGTGCTCTTTCGAAACATCGAGCTGTTCCTCGCAATCCATGCTGCGGCTGGCGACTGCGATCAGGAGAGTATTCATTATTGCAGGCCTAGAAACTGGCACCAACAACAACACAGGGGGGACCCCGCAGCACCAGCAGCAACAGCAGCAGGCGTCGCCTCATCAGCAGCATTCCAAGGCCCGTCAGGAAGCGCACGTCAAGCGGCAGCAGAAGGAGAAGCAAACGTCTATCCTCGCCACGGCTAAGGCCAACCCTGAGAAGGCGCGGCAGCAGTACAGCGATGCGGTGGCGGCATCGTACGATGCAGATGAGGCCGAGCGTGAGACGCTGCGGCGCTACAAACAAGTCGGTGGTGGTCGCGGTCGCGGAGGAGCCGAACGAGAAGAAGTTCGTGTTCAGGATCGACCTGGACGGGCTGGCTGAGACATCGACGACCACGAGGAGCAGGACCCGAAGGCCATCCAGGCGTTCCAAGAGCATGCGCACAAGCTGGAGCAGGTCTTGCAAGCCTGGGAGAAGGAGATGCAGGGTATCAGGCGGCGTGCGGTGAGCATGCGCAGCCCATCCAAGAAGCGCAAGGTCGGCGACAACGGCGGCAGCAAGGACGGGCAGCCTCAGTCGCAAGCAGCTCCTGGTGAGGATGCAGGCAAGGGGGCAGCCTGCCTCAGCCGAGTCCGCCGTCGACCCCGACGCGGCGGCCAAGGAGGCGGGGCGTGCCGAGCTGTGCAAGGCCACCATCCAGAAGGTGGCGGAGGCCAAGGATGAAGGGACCCAGGGACACACAAATAGATACACGCAAATCCCAAGATTCCCCATATTTTCGTATATTTTTGGGATGTTCGTCGTCCCCCCCCCCACTTCCCATATTTTCCTATATATTCTGGGATTGATTGTGTCTGTGTTTTTGATCCCTCCTGAAAGGAAGCAGCAGCGCATCGGGGGCATCAGGCCAAGGCCCGTGCTGCTGGTGCTGCTGGTGCTGCTGCTGCTGCTGCTGCTGCAAGGAGAAGAAGAAGAAGAAGAAGAAGAAGAAGAAGAAACACATAAACATAAATTTTGGGCGCTCCGCGCAAATTTCTTGGATTCGCGCTGGACCCCCCTCCCTGGCGCGCGGAGCGCGCCAGGGGCGGCGCCGGAGGCGCCGCCGGGGGGCCCAGGCGCGGATCCAAGAAATCCAGCGCGGAGCACCAAAAGCTTATGTTCCCTACCTAGGCTCTGCCTAGAAGGGTTCTTACTCTCTCTGGGCTTAAAGGGGCCGGGCAGTGGAAAGCGCCCCGGGCGGTTCCCCCAGTATCCGCCCCGCGGTTCCCCCAGTTACGTCCCCTTAGCTTAGCGTTGCTTATCTCATCTTAGCTTAGCTTATTTTATCTTAGCTTAGCTTAGCTTAATATTAACTCAGGTTTGTCTTAGTTTAGCTTACTTTCACCTTAGCTTCGCTGAGCGTTAGCATAGCAAAGCACAGCATTGCATAGCATAGCGTCGCATAGCACAGCGCAGCACAGCATATCATAGCATAGCCCAGCATAGCATAGCATAGCATAGCCCAGCATAGCATAGCATAGCGCAGCATTGCATAGCATAGCGCAGCATAGCACAGCATAGCATAGCATAGCGCAGCATAGCTTACCATACCATAGCCTAGCATAACATAGCGCAGCCTAGCGTAGCATAGCATAGCGCAGCATAGCATAGCATAGCATAGCATAGCATATCATAGCATAGCATAGTGCAGCACAGCATAGCATAGCATAGCATAGCATAGCATAGCATAGCATAGCATAGCAGCAAAGCAAAGGCAAAGCAACAGCAGCAACAGCAAAGCAAAGCACAACAAAGCAAAAAAAAGCAAAGCAAAAGCAATGTGCAACAGTACGATCAGAGAGCCCACCCGGTGAGCGAATGCAAAAACATGCGTGTGTGTGTGCGAAGGCAAAGCAAAAGCAAAAACAAGCAAAAGCAAAGACAACTACGACGATGAGGAGAAGGAGGAGGACGACGTTTACCGTTACTACTAATGCTGCTTTCCTAGGGGTTCCAACTCCTAGGTAGGGTCGCACTGGGGTAATCTATGTGGATTTTTCTTCTTCGATGCTGGGACTTTTGCCTCGGCCGCTGCTGGCAATGCTGCCCCATGCGGAGCCGCTGCCAGCAGTCGCGCGGCTGCAGGGGAGGCCGCCTCTCGGGTGTAACGTGGAGGAGAGCGTCGTCATGGAGGGGTCCCCGAGCCGGGAGCGCCCCACTGCGAGGACGCCATCTTCGGTGGCGCGGCCTGGAGCGCCGACTGTGGAGGGGGTCGGGGGGGCCGCCCCCGTCAAGCAGGACCCGAGTGCTGAGCGCGAGCGACAGGTCTGGCAAGACCTCGTCCGTCTTGGTGGAGGCTGAGGGGAAGCGGGTACTCCAGGTTTGCGGCGAAGCTGGAGGCTCGCGAGCCGGTCTGGAGACCCACGCTCAGCCAGCTCCTGACGTGGTGCCGAAGCTTTCCATGCAAGCGAAGCGGCAGGGCTTCAGTTCGGGGTCCTGTGCCACGGTTGCCTTGTCGTCAAAGGTGCCGCACCCACCGGCCCTGAAAAGGCTTAGACCCCTTGCGCCGACGCACCCCGCGCGGTGGACGGGCTCCGCGCCCGACGCCCCGCGTGCGGCGCCCCGCACAAGGAGATCGGCCGGAGGGGACGCGCAGCGCGCCGCGCGCAGCAGGTACTCCGCGTCTGCGTCGGTTTCGTATGGGCTCCGGCGTGGCACGGGTGGCGAGAGCGCTGACAGGCCGTCGCCGGATGATACGTCGAGCTGCATGGGAGGTGGACCTCAACGTCGTGTTCCTGGTGGCGAGCGCGCTGGCAGGTCGAGGAGGGAGGAGATCTCCATCCGCGCGGGGTCGGGGCAGGTCATGGAGGAGTCCGAGAGCTGGGATAGCACCCCCTCGAGAACGTCAGCGTCGGCTGCGCGGCCTAGAGCGCCGAGAAGTTCTATGCAGGTAGGTCAGCAGGGCGGTGGGGCGGCAGGGCCGTGCAAGCCCCTGAGGTAGCGGATGCTGGAGGGGAGCAGCACAGCCATGCCGCCACATCCACAGCGAGATTGCGCGGCTCGGTGCGCCGAGCAGTGCCCTGCAGGTGGGGCAGCAGGGCGGCAGGGCTGAGCAGGCCTCCGAAATGGCGGCTGCCGGGGGGGGGGGGGAAACAGCACGGCCTTGCCGCCACACCATGCTCGGTGACGCGGCCCTGCATTTCCACGGAGGTGGAACAGCGGGGTGGCCAAGGTGCGCCAGCCCCTAAGACAGCCGGGGCTGGAGGGGAAGGGCACCACCCAGCCACCGCGCATGGCTCTGCAGCGCGACCCGGCGCGCCGCCTGCCCCCAGCGGCTCCTGCGCGCTGATCCTCGGCAACGTCACGGAGTGGGGGCCTCAAGCCGTTGGTTTCGCCACGGCTCTACCGAAAAAGGTCGAGGGCTTCATGGTAGCCGAGACGCACACGGTGGAGGCCAAGCAGGAGAAGTGGAGGCAGACGCTGCGGAAAGAAGGGCAGAAATTGGAGGCGACCCCTACTGCTCCATCCAAGAAGGCCAAATCCAGAAGTAGAGGAGGAGAGAGGATCATGATGCAGACCCGCCTGGCAACGACGACGTTCGACGGTCAGCGTCCTGCAGCCTGCGACGCAGATAAGACGTCACAGCTCGTCGGCTTCATTGCGACCACGCTGCGCTTGAAGTCCGGCAATATCATCATCGTCAGCGCCTACCTCGTCCCTGGTGCTCCACTCACCGCTGCCGAGAACGCACCAAGGTTCAGAGCGCCGACGAGCTTCCCGAAGTCCGTAGCCGATCCCTTGTTGGTGCTGGCGGGCTGCAACGTGGTGCCCAGCAGGTTAGACTAGATGGGGTGGCCAGAGTTGCTGCGAGGAACAGTGGTGCAGCCGGGCGGGTGCACGATCACATGCGGTAAAGGCAGTGGAAGTATGATCGACTACGGCGTGGTATCCAACGATGCGCGGCACATAATCAAGCTGGAGGCCTACACGTGCGTAGCCATCATCATGAGGGCTTCGAAAGCTTGGAAGTGCTTGCAGCTGGTGACACCGCAGCCTCTGCCAGCACTGATGCGCCCCAAGCTAGCCACAGGCCTGCACGGCAAGAATTCCAGACAGAAGGAGGAGGCGAAAATTGAGATGCAGAGGAAGCGCGAGGCCGACGAACTGCCCAGGGGGCATCGAGGGTGAGTTCGGGAGGGCGGCCGATGAGTTGAGCATGTCGGAATCCGATCTGCATCAAAGGTGGTGCAGACGGAGGTGCCGTACGCTATCA